ATTCATACATTTGCACTTCATACATGCATAATACAAAGAAATTATAAGAATTTCTTTCGATAGCTATTTTTTTCGATATTCTCAAATACTAAACAAAATAAAAAAATCTTAATGATAATTGCGATATGAAAATTGAGTGAAAAAATTAAGAATACTAATGATGATGAATAAAAAGCGTGAAAGTGTGCAATGTGTTGAAGCGGCCTCCTGTTGTTTCGATAAATAGAGCAGATTGGATCTGCGATATTTTGCAGCCACTTCCATCCATTGGTCGTAAAGGGACACACTAGGGGACACATGTATATCTGGTTCTTGGACACAGAAAGAAGAATGAAAGACAGAGATTTTCATTATTTTCCAAAGGTGTGAGTACGTACTCAAAATGAAAAGACGTACGTCTTTCGAGGTGTAACGATGTTTAATATGTATTATATATAATATTTGATGAAGTAGACGGAATGCATTTTTTACCTGTTAAATCATTTGTTTGAACCAATTTCCCACATACTGGATATTTTCCACATTCACTGCCTTCTATTTGAAAATGCAAACATTCATCTTGGACAATGATACACACTTCACATGGCAAGCACCTAATATCCTTGCATGTACGTCCATATTCTATAAAAGAAAACGTGAACGAAAAAATATAAAATGGGTGACAGCAACGAACACTCTTGCTATCATTCAATTTTCCACACACTTGACCAGCTGAGTGTATCCGCCAAACATATTATGAACAGTAAAAAAAATACAGTTTGTGCGATCGACATTATGATGAAAATTCTATGAATACAAAAAATATAAAAAAATACGGAATGAATTATTTAGAATAATGTACAAGAGATAGTATATTCCAAGTATTCTGCACCTTTCGTTTTCGCTTGTCAACGCAACTTATTTGTCTGCAAAGGTTCTATTCAGATATTTTCTAAATGGGTACGTACTATTTTGAGCTCACGATCAACAAACATCAAGAAAGTTAATACGTGTTACCAAAAACCAAAAGAAAAAAGTTGAAAAACATCGGTGCGTGTGTGTGTGCATATGTTCACCTACTCTGAGAAAACTCAGATGTTAAAATTCAAAGTAATCAGAGCAAAATGCCATTTTAACATGAGGGTATTTTTTCACATGGTAAAATGTCATTTTACCCGCAACACATTTC